GGGGGGGGGGGGTGCGGTGTGAGTGCTGCCAACAGTGAGTCTTCTGTTTCTTGCCCCACTGTGACGCTGCCTTACTCTCAACTTGCTGTATTTTTCATTGGAACTTGAATTTGGTTCAACAAACAACTGAGGTTTTACTTTCTGCAAGTATTCTATATCTGGATTTGCCTTTAGGCTTCACACACTTTTAAATTGGGAAACATAATCAGATAAATAACTAAAATACAAGACTAAGTATAATTAAATGGAAGAGGGGAAGACATGGTTTAAGAAAAGAGAGTAGGATTTGAAGTTTAGCTAAATTCTAGGCCTCACTGCTCGATTACCTTGATTAGCAGACACAGTTATTTTATTTGTAGGATGAAATGATTCCATCTGTATTAACTCCCTGAGGCTGTAAAGGGAACAAAGAAAGCACTTCTTGGCCAAAATATAAGAATTATAGGCTGAGATGGAGTGAAGAGCTTTCTAAGTGAGGGTAGGATCTGAGCAAAGGTAAGGAGATGAGAAAAGACCGGGGACCAAAAATGGGTCCTGGGACCAGGGAGTTCAGTGTTTGGAGAGAAAAGCAAGAAGTCCTTTTTTGAAGTGTCATGGGTAGAGGACTGGAAGGGTAGTTTGGATCCAAAAGGCTTTGAATACCCCATAGGAAGTTCAGACTTTACGATTCTGTTAAACATGAATCCTTCCAGGGTTTTGTTGCTAATTTGTTTCAGTGGCAGAGTAAAATAAGAATTATCTTTTAGGAAGATTACTCCAACAGCTCTGTGAAGAATGGATTGAAGAGAAGACAAGGAAAACAGGGAGACTAGTCTTGGTGGATGTTGAAATAATTGAGGAAGATATTAACGACCCCAACATAATTGGTGACTCTGCTTACAGAGAAGAAAGAACAGATTTGCCAAGAAATGATCAGACTTAGCCACAATTTAGGTGTCAGAAGCAGGAAAGGTTGAGGAGTCAATGTCGGATTTGCAACCTGGCCCCCCTGACATTAGGACAGAGGAAGCCAGAAGACGGAGCAGGTTTGAAGGGCAAGTTAAACATATTTTGGACCTCATTGACTGTGGAGTCATGACTCGCCCTATGGAGAGAGAGTAGTCAGAAGCTTTGGACTGGAAAAATCCTTGCACACATTGACAATTTTTAGTAAAAATACTAGCTAGTATTTATGATGTACTTTCTATGTGCTGGGCACTGTTCTCAATATATTAATCATAACAATTCTTTCATAGGTACAGTTATCCCTCAGTTTCCGTAAGTTAAGTAAAATATAAAGCATAGTATAAATTAAGCACTATAAAAAGAGGCGCAGACATGGTTTAAGGAAGAGCGAACAGGACCAGAAGATTGGCTGTAGATTTGAAGACTTTTTCTGCTTCCCTTTTCACACCTGCAGATAAGATAAACCCGCTGTGCTGTGAAGCGGTCGTGAGGGTAAATGAGGAAGGGGGTTGGAAGTGTGTGTTCTTTGAAACCCAGGATCCTGAATGAACTTGAGAGGGTATTCACGGGCGCAGCTGTGAAAGATGTCGTTTCTATGGGAATTCATCAGTCTCAGTGAAGAGGCAGGTGAGGGGAGGTGATGGCATTCTGAAGTTCTGTGCCACCTCAGTGACGGTGATCTCATGGGAAGAGGCCTGGTTGGAGGTCACAGTCTCTGGATTCCGGTTCTGTGGTTGCCACTGACCTGCTGTGTCATCTTGAGCACTTCTCTCCTTTTCCTTGGGATAGATTCAGTGTGTGGTTCTCATCCCTTATTTCCCCGTGACAGCGTATGTTACATGCTCAGCAACACGGGTGCACCTAGATTTTGGTAAGACCTCGACATTTGTGGGAAAGTAAAGCCAAGAATGCCATAGTCTCTTGGGGCATGATAGCTATGAAGGCATTTGAGTCATTAAATCAGCCATCAAAGCTTTTTTAAGGCATTTGACCAGGAAGTAAATATAGCTAACTTAATTTTTAAAATATATTATGCTTTAAAAAAAAGTTTACTTCTTGATTTTTATTCTCCCAATCCTTTGTAGGTAATATAGCAAAGAAGTGTGTGCCACTTAATTAACCTAAATAAACTTCTCTTATCAAAAACTGTAATGCAAAATCTCACAGATTTTTAAACAAATTTACTAGCATTGTCATGGCAAATTTCACTTACATCATAAGTAATTGCTGTGGTAGTTATAATAATTGTAGTATTAGTAGACTTAGTCGTAACTTTACTCTCCTCTTCCTATAGCGTGTAGATGAATTACTCTCTTCATCTTTCTTTGCCTTTTAGCTTAGTAATAATTTAAACTAAGCTGGGTGAAATTTCATAAAAAATAAAATTTAAATTTTTTTTATTATAGAAATAATAATTATAAAATTCTCACATAAAACTCCTTAATAAAATATTTGCAGGTCAAATCCAGTGGTATCTTAAAGCATAATACACTATGACAGGCTAGATTTTATCCTAGATACAATGGGTCAGTTTTAGAAAATTTATTAGTGCTCTCCATTACATTTATAGATTAATGAAAAAGAAACCTGAACATTTTCAGTCTTTCCTGGTGGAGAAAACAGCAATAAAAGAGAACCACTTAGGATTAGAAAGAAACTTTCTTAATGATGAAAATCTAAGCAGCCATATCCCAGACACCAACAGCAAATGTCATTCCCAGCTGTGCTTTAAAGTTAAGAAAAAGGCAAGGATGCCTTCCGCCATTGCTCTTCATCTGTGCTGTCCTGGAGGTTTGGGTCAGAGCAATAAGATGGAAGGAAGAAGAAAGAAAGGTCACATATCAGAAAGAAAAGGAAGCAGTTTTTCTTTGTAAATGGAACTTTTCCCATTAATTCTCTTGAGTTTTGTATCAGAACTGACATGGGTTCAATAAGATATGGCTAGAGAGAAGATACAATGTACAAATAAGCAGTAGCCAATTTGAAAATCTAATAGAAAAAAACACCCTATTTAGATAGTATCAAAAATGTTAAAATACCGAGGAATAAACAAGAAACGCGCAGGCTTCCTATATGAAGGAAACGGATTTTAACTGAAGGACATAAGAATGACCTGAATAAACGGAGAGTTGTGCTGCGTTCTGGATGAGAGGGCATAGTTCATGTGTTCTTAACTCTTGTAGCTATTGTATCCCCAGTACCCTTGCTGCAGCAGCTGGTGGTAGGGAGGCCCGGGACTGTGCAGCTCCTGAGCCAGCTGTAACTACCTTGGTTCCTCAACAAAATGGACTGACATGCAAGTGTGACTGACATAGCATGGGATGGCTACCATGGATATACTCCATAATTCTTAAAAATTCACACGTTTTCGCACTTTATTTTTAGTCATAACTTGCTGGACTATATGCTCGTACTGATCCCTTCAGTCTCTCATCTTCTGTGATTCTGCATTCTTCTGGGAATTTTATATATCTTCTATTAGGCATATTCTACTATTCTAATATTAGATAGGTATTATCTAATGTTCTCATATATTCTGATATTCTATTCTATTCCTGGAGAGGAAATTCATGAAAGTTCCCCAGAGTCGGTTTTTCCCATTACGTCCCAGAAGCCTCCATCTTCCTGCGGAGCCCCACTTCTCTGTCACAAAGACCTAAGGATTCTGTTAGGGCTGCCATTTCCTTGTGTCTAAAGGGGGCTAGTAACATCAACCAAATGAGATGGCTATCAAGGTGTAGAAAGCCACGGATGTGAAAGAGCTTTGTGATGTCTAAAGCTGTAGATCATCAAGGGTCATTATGGCAATTCCCTTGTCTTTACTTTTTTTGGCAAAGTCAGAGCAGCCTGTGTCCCCTCTGTTTTGAAGCCTGAGGTGAAGTTGAGGAAGTGATGTCCTGGTCATAAATGTGGTCTTTCTCCCATTGCTCCTTTGCCCAGGTGAAAGTCAGTTCGGCTGTGCTTAAAGCTGCGGCCCATCACTATGGCGCTCAGTGCGACAAACCCAACAAGGAGTTCATGCTGTGCCGCTGGGAAGAGAAGGACCCACGGCGGTGTTTAGAGGAAGGCAAGCTTGTCAACAAGTGTGCTCTGGAGTTCTTCAGGTAAGAATCTTCCCACATCGGTGCCTATTTGGTTGAACCATCAAGGTGTATGTATCTCGGTGAACAGCCAGCTAATTAAAGGGAAGGATCATTTTAGTGACTAATGTTAGTAGGCATTGCAAGGCTTTGAAATCAGAGAGACCAAAGTAAGCACACAGTAACTGATAGTTATTTTTGTTATTTGTTATTTCCTTTTATTATTTGGCAAGTTTTTAAATCTTCGTGAATCTCAATTTCCAAATTATAGAATAATACATATCTTATACAGGATAGTTACAAAAAAATTGAAAAAGCACATAAAAACAACTCGACTCAGTGCTAGCGAGCAGGTATCACTAGATTGTTATCGTGACCATCACTACAGAACACATATTATGGTGGAAAAAAAAAATGTGTTCAGAGTCAAGCTTTTGGGTAGGCCACTGTGCTTGACACTATAAGTAAAAAAATCCAAATTGTAATTGTAGAAAAATGTTTTAACAGCCATATTAATCAGATCTCTACTTAAAGGGACAGGAACTTAAAGGGAATTGGCTCATGCAACTGTTAAATCCAGAAATAGGACTGGCATCAGGCAGGGCTGGATTCAAGGGCTTAAATAATTTCGCAACAACTTGATGTCTTTTCCCTCTTCCCCCAGCCTCTTAGTTCTGTTTTTCTCTGTCGAACTCATTCTCAAAGAGACTCTTTCCTTGCTATAGCAAAAATGGACACCAGCCGCTCCAAGCTGCTATGCCACTTGCTTAGCAGATGTAGACAAAGAATGCAAATTTTCCAGTAATATGAGCAGAGGTCCCTGGAATGAGTCTGATTGGCCTGGCTGGTTGACTTCACATGCATATCTTTGGATCAGTTGAATTGCAGGAGATAAAGTGCTGTGATTGGTCAGACCTGAAGTGGGAGTAGACTTAAGATTCATCTAAACCACATTGCTGAGCAATAGGGAGGGGTTGTTTCCCAGAGGAAAATTAGAAGGATGCTACAGAAGAATGGAGAATGACTGCTGGCTAGGCAAAACCCACAGATGTCCGCTATAATGACGTTAGAGGAAAAAATCAAATTTTGTCACATAATAGCTGCTTTTCTTTTTTGTTTCTGCTGTCTTTGTCCACATGCAAAGATATTTTTGTGGTTAAAATCATAGTGTGCCTACATTTTAAAATTTATTTTTCACTTGAAACTTGGGAACATTCTTTCAAGTTGCTATTTGTCTTCATGGTCATCATTTTTACTGGCTATATAATATTCTGTCAGTGGGTAAACCAGTCATAATGTACCTGACCAATTCCTGTTATTAAACATCATTGTTGATTCCAGCTTTGATTGTTTTGGATAAGTTTGCAGTGATCACCTTTGTGTGTAGATCTTTTTCATTTTAAAATTAATTCCTTGGCATAAATTGCCCAGCAGTGAGATTATTTTATAAAAGACTTTGAACATTTTTACGTTCTCAGCACTGTATCTTGGTATACCTCACCAGCATTACATGTTATTTAGATGTTTGGTAAGTACAAAGTGGTATTCTTGCTTGAATTTGCATTGATTTGATTACTAACATTGTTTATTTAAAAAATTTTTATTTTCTTTTCATTAAGAATTTATCTGAGCCAAAACTGACGACATTGCCAGGAAGCAAGATCTCAAATGCTTCCAGATTTTTTATTTTCTAAGAGAACTTTGGCAAAGCATTTCTCCTTTGGCCCAGAGGTAGTACATTTAAATGGGAAATGTTTGGATTTCACAAGTTCCCGAGGTGTCTAACTGCCTCCAGCAGAGGAATTTCTCACTGCTGATGTTGCTTGTTGAAGGCATTGGTAGATAACTATTGGGTGTGGTTGCCAGGGTGACAGGGCCCAGAGCAGACTAAGTACTGGAGTCATAGTTTGCAGGCCTTCTACAAAACTCCCATTTGAAATGGTAGCTCACTACCAGAGGGATCCGCAAGTAGAGTTTAGGTGGGTGCACTTTTGTGCGCCGTGGAAATCCAGCCCAGTGGGGCTAGAGGTAATTCAGAAGAGTTCCCTAAGGCTTTCGTAGTCTTCTTCCTTCCTGCTGCACACCCCACTTCCCACAAGGTTATACTCAGAATACTGGGAAGGGTACATAAGAAATTGGTAACAATGGAACTGAGCAGGAATGCAAAGCAGATTTTTCACTATGTATTTCCATAGACTATGTCAGGGGTTCTTTCTGAGCCCTGGTAAATAAGATTCCTGTGTTGAGCGTAGCTAGATTCTTGGAGTATGACAAGCAAGTGGTTCAAAATTATTCCTTTGGGGCAGGAAGTGTTCTGCATTTCTTCTATTGCCTCAGATACAGCTTTTACATAAAATAATGGTATTTCATTCTTGCTTTAGTTTGCATTTATTTGATTACTAGGAAGGTTGAATGGTAAGAAAAGGGGAACTCTGCAAAATAATTGAGGCGCATCCCTTTTATGCACAAAAGTTACTTTTTCAACTATTTTGGTGGTCACAGAATTAATATGCTACCTTGCTTCTTAGCAGAGAGCATCAAATATAATTTCATTTTATTACTGACAACAGTAGTCTGTTTTTGTTCTGTGTATTAATAGAATGAGGACCTTAGCTTTTGAGACGTGTAGGGCAGTTTGCCTCTACACTGAATGCTCCCAGGATCTTCTGGTTGGTAGTTTGTGTATTTGCTCTTTAAAATTCTGTCTCCTTTGCCATTTTCTGTCCCCTCTGACTTCTGTCAGCATGCCCATCTCTGATTATGCCTCCTCTCTTCTAAACTTGCTAAGCTGATCATCTTTAGATCCAAGTGAGGAGGTCTGTATCTGTTTTTCCCCCACGGCTCTGTTTTTCATTGTTTTTCGAAGAGCTCCCCATAACCTAGCCCTCTTTTCCAGGCAGATAAAGCGTCACTGTGCAGAACCTTTTACAGAATATTGGACCTGCATCGATTATTCCGGGCTGCAGCTGTTCCGTCGCTGTCGCAAACAGCAGGCAAAGTTTGACGAGTGTGTGCTGGACAAGCTGGGCTGGGTGCGACCTGACCTGGGAGAACTGTCCAAGGTGAAAAGGGTGTCCTGCTGGTGGGCTCACTTTCTCACTGAGGGGCGGGTAAAGGCAGGAGGTGGTCAGAAAAGGGTCTGTGAGTATAGACAGGTACAATGTGAGAAATCCAAATTAACCTACCAGGTTAATTAGGGAGTGATTATACACAGTCCCAAGGGCGTTTAACAGAGCTACTCCTTTAGACTTCCAGCATTGCAGGTTTGTTTGTGGGTAATTAGCTAATTGAGCAGAAGCAAGCAGATGGGGACAAAGCGCAGGGGACACAGTTGGTTGAAAACACTGAGATGATTGTGGAATTGAGCGGGGAAGTAGGGTCAGGGTTGTGCCAGATTTTTCAGGAACATTCCTAAGGTAAAAGTACATGCCTGTAGTTTAGAAGGTGTGTTTTCCTACCCTTTCTCCTGTATTTCCTGTCTCAGTTGTGATACCATCATCTGTTGGAACATCAGAGCCAGAAACCTGAATGTCCTTTTGCCTCAGTTCCCACCCTGTCTCCCTTTATTCAGTCACCGTCCTGTAGATCAGCATCTCCTGGAAGAATGTTTGAATCCTCTCACTGCCCCCACTTCTTGGACAGGAGTTCCTAACCTGGGCTCTATGAATTTCTGGGAGGGGAGGTGGATCAGTTCGGGTTTAAGAAGACAGCGCCTCCTCTGCAAATGGAGAATTTAGGAAATAATTACATCTTCATGATAGGCATGATCTGTGTGGAAAACAAATGTCACTTCCTTTTAAAAAACTTTTTAGAGGCTCCCTACGGCTTGCCAGATAAAGTGTCCTCTCCGTATTCGGGCATGGAGGCCCTTTCTGATCTGACCCATCCCCTCTGGGACAGCACGTGTACCAGGCATGGAGGAGACACTCAGGTTTTGAATGGAGACAGACAATAGATGGGAATCTTGGTTCCACTACTTAATTGCTATAGGATCCCAAGCAAATTGCTTAAAATTTCCTGTCATTCCAGGGCTGTAAAATGGAACCCATGTTAATCCCTAGTTTTCTGTGAGGATTAAAGTAGAGAGTCTGTGTGAGCCCCCAGCCTCGGGCCAGGCTCACAGGTCCACAGTTACTGTCTGTTCCCTCTGTTGGTGTTTAGTGTCTGTGGATAGTTGGGTCCTAAGCTCGGTGTCTTAAGTAGATGGATGGTTTAGCAATTTGATGATGTTTTTAGAATCTGGCTGGATTATTTTACTTCAGACACCTTCTTTTGCTGCACTGAACAAATTGTTATTTTTTAAAAAATATATATATTTTTATTGATTTCAGAGAGAGGAAGGGAAAGGGAGGGAGAGGGAGAGAAACATCAATGAGAGCGTCATTGATCGGCTGCCTCCTACACGCCCGCCACTGGGGATCAAGCCTGCAACGCAGGCATGTGCCCTGACTGGGAATCGAACCACAGTCTCCTGTATCATAGGTCAGTGTTCAACCACTGAGCCACACAGTTCAGGCTGAACAAATTGTTTTTAATAGTTGATAATTCTAAGTTGGAAAAGGATGGAACTTACATATTTAATTATGAAAACTACCTTTCCTCATCTCTCTCTCTCATGAAAGGAGAGTTAACAAATCATGCTGTTAAGAAAGCATATTTAGTCCTGAGTCTTCGTGTTAACATTTTTAAAAACCTAAAAAAGTATTGTTTTCTTAACACTTCTCAGAAGTGTATTTCCTTAAGAGGATTATCAGTTTTAGTTATACTAAAATCAGCTTCTCTTTCTGGAAAGGTGATAATCAGCCGGACAAAGCCTGACTTTTAGCTTCATTCACTTTGCGTTCTCTTTCCTCTGGACTGCCCTGCCCTTCCTGTTCTCCTGAGTTCCTACCCACTTGTCTAGTCTCAGCTCACATGTCGTGTCCTTTGAAGTTTGGCTTTCCCTGGCAGAATTGCGCTCTCACCTGTGGTCCCATCATCCGGGTAATATTAATATTGAAAATGACTTATGGAGCACCTGCTATATATACATCAAGCACTTTATGCATATTATTCTAATAACCCTGTGAGCTGATAGTCCCATAGGCTGCCCAAGGTCATTTACCTAGGAATTCACTTGCTTCTGCTCCTTTTTTCTTTTAAGTGTAATGAAGAAGAGGAACTTGTTTTATTGTTCTTTCCACAATAATTTGTCTTTAAAGGGTCCTTTTATGACTTTCAGTTTGAGAAAGATTTTTCTCAATTTATTTCAGAGATTTCTTGAATTCCTTAAAGGAGCTTCAAATGCCAGCTGGAGGCATTTGGAATTAGTCTCTCCAGAAGTAAAGAACCATTAGGGATCTCTGATTACAGCACAGAGATGAGAACACTGTTTTAAAAACAAACAAAAGACTACTCTGGGCTTGTAGTCAGAAGACTTGGGTCCCAGCACCAGCTCTGACATTTACCGTGTACCTTTATCTTAGGCTAGTTGGCCTCCCTGTCCTCATCTGTGAACTAGAGATGATAATGCTGTGTAGACTGGTTATGGTAATAATTATTAATTGTGTACATGAAAGCTCTGTTCATGATAAATGTTTTTAAATTTATACTTATAGGAAGACTAACCTGGTCATATTACATGGAGTGACTAAGAGTTCAGACCACTAGATAACCAGACAGTTAATAACTATTGCCTTTTGTCTTTTCTGGGCCTGTTACCTCATCTTTAAAATGAGAACAGTTTCCGCTGGGTTTCCATTGGAGATTTTTGTGGCCATCGGGGGATAATGTGGGTGTAAACACCTTCCATCTCCCTCCCTGTTCAACAGTTCAGTGCTCCATCTGTCTCCTGGCCTGTGGGCTCAGCTCTCCGCTTCTGGTCTTTCCGCTGGTCTAGCTTCTATACCTTTCAGCCTGCGATGTGATTGAGTTACTTCCCTGCCTCAGGTTACCATCAGGTTAAAATTCAAACACCTTTCCTTCTTTCCTCTTCACCCCTCGCAGGTCACCAAAGTGAAAACAAATCGACCTTTACCGGAGAATCCCTATCACTCAAGACCAAGACCAGAGCCCAACCCTGAGGTAGAAGGAGATCTGAAGCCTGCCAAGCATGGCAGCCGCCTTTTTTTCTGGACCATGTAAAATGGGTCCATGGCCCACATTCAGTCACGCGCCCAGACGACTATGGAGGAAAACTCACATGCAGTTTGCATCGACTGACTGATAGAGTTCTTTCCGGGATCACAAACATTAACAAAAAGTTAATTTATGTGACTTGGCAGTTATTCTATACCATTTCCTGGCCATTAAAAAATTTAAAGGAAACAGTTGTATTTTATTATGTTTTATATAACCTTTTGGCCTTTAAAGATGACTTCCCCTTGTATTTTCTTCTTGTGGTCCTGCCTGTTCCTCTCTCTTTGAGGAGCATTTGCCAGTGTGGCAGTTAGATTGTGGAGAAATGACTGTGGAGGAAAGGCTTTATTACCTGAGACAGCTCCTTGGAGGGGGGGACGGTGTGTTCACACATTTTGGAGTCAGCTCTCTTTCCCATCCAACCTCTGAAATAGATTTCCCTAAAGGTCATGTAAGGGAAGTGTCCAGCATAGGAGAAGTAAAGAAACGTTTGAGCCCGTGACTCAGGCCATGGGAGGGGCCTCCTGGCTGGGTCCTAGGCAGTCTTGCTCAGAGTTTCTTAAAGAACCAAACTTCCACCACTTCCCCTTGATATCCCATCCTCAAGCATTATAACCCAGATGTTTTTCCTGATAGACCAGGGAGGTGGAGGCTGAGCTCTCAGCTCCAAAGCCAGGAAGTCGGGAGGTCTGAGTGTCAATTCCAACCTTGGGTGTGTTCCTTAACCTCTAGCAAGAGGTTGAATTTGAGGACAAACTAAAGGGAACATGCTTATCTACCTCCTGGGCAGGTTGAAGCCACAAGTATTTATAAAGCTCTGGTTCAAAGCCCTACTGTGTCTTTATTTTTCCCTTTCGTTGAGTTTCTTTTCACTACTGGGCTATTTCCTCTGCATCTGACTGGGTCACTTTACACCTGGTTGTGGCCTCAAATTGTATATGACCCTGCATAAGTCATTTCAACTCCCTGGGCGTGGGTTTCCAATGTGCAGTTCAAAAGAGTGAAGTCATATAAGTCTTTCTAAAGGCCTTTCCACTCCTGTTCTGGATACTCTTAAGGAGGAGATTGCTGTGTGTTGGGCAGATGAGGTACCGGCCTGTTGCCCAAAGTGTTAGGACAGTAAAGACAAATCACTGCAAGGTCTGCTTCCCTCCTGCCCCCTCCCTGTTTGACCCCACAGTGGGAATCATTTTGGGTGACCCTTATTCCCACCTGTTCTGCAAACATTCCTTGCCAGCTGCCTTTGCCTCATTCTCCAATTTACTGAAGAAAACTAACATTTATAAAACAGCCACGGCAACATCCATTAACTTCATGGTGGCCAAGTAGTTGGAAGTCACCTCTGATGGGAAAGTATGGCCATGGCCGCAGGTTGGCGTTTACACAATACCTCAAGCTACGTGTTGCTTCCTAGGTTCCTTCTGCAAAGGAATCTGGCACTGTGTGCCTTGTGCCAAGTGCTTTACATATGTCACCTTCAGTGCTCAGAGCCCTTTGAAAGAGATTCTATGTTATGCCCTTTTCAGAGATGAAGGCACTGAAGCTTAGGGAGAGGTGAAGAAGCCCCACTCTTATGTGGGATGCAAATGATGATGGTCTGGTTCCAATGGCCACACCCTTGTTCTTCAGATTCATCGGTGGCTTTCAGCCTTGGATGCAGCTGCAATCACCTGGGGACCTTTAATTACCGATGTCTGGATCCCACCCCTGGAGGTTCTGATTGAATTTGTCTGCCATGTGGCCAGGGCATGGAGCTTTTGAAAGCTCCCCAGGTTATTCTAAGGTGAAGCCAAGGTACAGGGCCACTGATTTTATAAATGAAGCAGGTCCAGGAGGCGAAGTGGGTACTCTGAGATATAAACCCAGATGCACCTGATTCCAAAGCCCATCCTTTTAACATAGGGCCCTGCCTACAAGTCACCTGGAGACCTTGCGAACATGAAGATTCTGAGTCAGTGTGTCTGGAGTAGGCCCTGCTGCTTTTTGGTGCCAACGTTGTTGGTCTGTGGACGGAGCTTTGGATGACAAGGGGGTAAACCATAGCTTCTGAGTGCAGAATCCATCCAAGTCTGACTATCCCGCTTCAGTGTCCGGGCCTGGGCACTCCCTGAGGATTAGTTCACCTCTCTATTATCAGAGCAGCAAGTCCTGAACCATTAATGTCTTCAAATTCAATTCTAGGATGTTTTAACTTTTGCCCAAGTTGGACAGCAGCTCTTGGCCTCCCCCCACCCTCCCCACCTTGCTTTGAATTCCTTGAACAAAGAAACTAACTTTTGGCTTTCCTGTATTCTTGATAGAATTATACCACATCATAGCCTTCTAGGACCGAAGGGTCTAAGTAAAGATAAAATTCCTAAAATCTCGCACAACAAATGCATCTCTCAATTTCAGTAGGTGAAAGGTCACGGAACAATTTGGAAGCAGTGTGAAGGATCTCTGAGCAGGGCTCCAGATAATAGTCAGAAAAATCTTCCTGCTCAAGAATGAGACTGATTCCTTACATTCCCAGAGGAACTTTATCTGCCCCTTTCCCCGGCCACGCCTGTTCCTGTCTTCTCTATCTGAGTTAATGGTGTCTCCATCCTTCCAGTGTCAAAACATGAGACGCACCTTTGACGCCTGCTCGCTCCAATACCAAGTCCTGGTGAGCTCTTTCTATTATCTCTCACATTGGGACTTCCTTTTTTTATCTCACTGTCACTGTCCTACCCTGTTTTTGTCCCCTTGCCTGGATTATTAATGCTACTTCCGAAGTCATCTCCTGCCTTCATCTCACCCTCCAGTCCATCTGCCACTTGCTGCACGTGCCTCTGCGGTCCAGAAACCTTCAGTGGCTCCCAAATCCTTACTGCCATGTGGATGCTCCATAATCTGGCCTTTGTCTAGCCCATTTTCCCCCACCATTATCTTACTTCTCTGTATCATGTACCCTGTAGTCTTCCAAATGTTGTTCCTCAAGAGTGTTTTCCAAATTCCAGATCGTTACTAAGGCTGCCATCCACTTGCCAGGAAACATCCTTTTCCCATCTCTGCCTCTTGAAAGTCTACCCATCTCTCAAGGCAAACCCGAGTGCCGCCTTCCCCAGGAAGAGTCCCCTTCCTACAGCCAGAAGTGGTCTTTCCTGCCCCTTTGTTCCCAGGACACAGTCTAGCTTGAGGGTTGAACACAGGGCTCCCGAGTGGGCTGTCTGGATCTGAATGCAGGCTCTGTCACTTAATAGCTGTGTGATCCTAGGCAAGTTACTTAACCTTTCTGTACTTTATTTTCCTCATCTGTAAAATGGGGAATGATAACAGTACCCACCTCCTGGGATGGCTTTGAGGTTTTAGTGAGTTCTACAGATGAAATGCATAGTATGGCGTTGATAAGTGGTAGCAATTGTCATAGCACCCTATTTGAGGAGCACTGGTCACAGCACTGGGTCTCAGTATTGTAAGATCTGGACTTCCACCTTATATTTCTATATTTTAGTGCCCAGTACATCACAGACATCCAGGGAATGATGAACTATACACCACGTTTATCTTTTCAAAAAACATCCAGCCCAGCCGGGCGTGGCTCAGCGGTTGAGCATCGACCTAGGATCCAGGCGATCAGGGTTCGATTCCCGGTCAGGGCACATGCCCGGATTGTGGGTTGCAGCAGATCAATGACTCTCTCATCATCGATGTTTCTCTCTCTCTCTCTCCCTCTCCCTCTCCCTTCCTCTGTCTGAAATCAATAAAGATATGTTAAAAAACAAACAAAACAAACAAACATCCAAACCCTCTCCTTGCCACAAAACAACACACTAATTATGTAGAAATAGAGTACTATTCTTTGAGATTAAACTGCCATCTTTGTATCAAATCCTAACTGAATGCTTTGGGTATAATAAAAGATGAATTCTTATGCCCTGAAATGGATCATGATATACTTGGGTTTTAAAAAGTACCAGCAGAGTCCTGGTAGGTTTCATTCAGTGGTTAGAGCGTCGGCCCTCGGACTGAAGGGTCCCGGGTTCAGTTCTGGTCAAGGGCACGTACTTCAGTTGCAAGCTCCATCCCTGGCCCCGTGGGGAGAGTGTGGGAGGCAACCAACCGATGTGTCTCTCTCTCATAGATGCCTCTCTCTCTCTCTCTGTCCCCCTTCCACTCTCTGAAAAGCAATGGAAAAAAAATATCCTCGTTGAGGATTAAAAAAAAAAGTACCAGCTGCCTCTACCGCATAAGAAGTCTCAGTTTGGGGTTGTGACATGGTTGTGTGTCTTGATCATTTGTAATATGTGTACTGTGCAATTTGTTTTAATAAGATTGACATTTACAAATTTATTTACTTTGCAAAAATAAATTAGAACAGATTCAAGAGATTAGGGAGAGGTTCAGGAAGAATCCCTGGCTTCATACCTGAGATGGTCCGTCTAGGAAACAAACAGAGGTTGTCTGCTTCCAATGGCCACACTCTTGTCCTCCGAAGTCACTGAATCTCAGCCTTGGATGTACACTGGAATCACCTGGAGACCTTTAAATACTGATGTCTGGTTCCCACCCCCAGGTATTCTGGTTTAATTGGTCTGTGGTGTGGCCTGGACATACAGATTTTATAATAAACAATACAACTTGCTCATTTATACTCAAATAGCCTTTCTTTAGTGGGAGAAAGAGGGATATAGCTGCAGCTAGAAGCCTGGAAATCCATTGACTAGCTCATTAATTCATTGGGCAAATATTCTACAGCCTGCTAGGTGCTAGTTAGCATGCCAGGTATAGGTGCTGAACAAGACAGGCAGGGCCCCCCGCTCTTGTGGGGTGTCCATGCCCGTGGTGGAGGCAAGGACAAGGTAAATACAGAAACAAGATGATTTCAGATTGCAAGAGTCCTATGAAGGAACCAAATGGGTTAATATGAAAGCGAGGAGCTGGGGATGAGGAAGGATGTGTTTAGGAAGAGAGGCCAAGGAGACTCTCTCAGAGGAAGCAGTGTTTGACTTCCTCCCGAAAGGCAGCCAGGTCAAGGAAGAGCAGGTCTGAGGGAACAGCAGGAGCAAAACCCTGAGGCAGGGTGGGGCTCGGTGCTGCACAAAGTCTGGCTGGAGTGTGGTTTTGTGGGTATAAACCCAATGCAGTTGTAGCTTACTTACCCCTGCCTTTAACCTGAGAGGGCTGGATAGAGTCCACACTGCTCACTGTGACAGTTAGGCTGGCCAGT